TATTACCCCAGCAGACCATAGAACACTCCGAAACATTCTAAGCAGCCCGGGAAGCATACAGTGCAAGCAGCTGATTAGGCGCTCAAACACTAACAAACTGACAAGATCTTTCGCTGTCTATAGCCGGGTACCCATTCCCACCTGTGTGAAGTGAGGAAAATTCGTGTAAAGTGCCTTTCCCAAGGACACAACGTCGAGCCCCTGACGGGATTCGAACCCACGACCTTACGGTTGCGAGTCCGAGAGCCTAACCATTAAGCCACCGACGCCATTTTCTTTTATCATTCTTTATTAAAATTAACAGAATCGCATAATTTCACATTTTTGGGCTCAGTTTGCATGACTTCAGAATAACATTTTTGCGTAAAACCGCGGGGACAGCTTTTAGGACCAACCCGGACTGAGATGGAGGGACACAACATTCCAGTAGAAAGACGTAGACAGTCGATAAATTCAATATACCCCCCCCCCCCTTTCCTCCAGGGAATCAAACCCGGGAGTCCTGCAACAACAAAGCGCCTAGCGGCAACACTACAAACGCTGACATAGGGAGTTAAAGATGTTGAAAAATTGGGTGACAAAATTGGCCGCGCTTGTAAGCGCTACAGCTGTCGCAATGCTAGGTCTGCTTGGAGTTGCAAAGTGCTCCGTTTAACCCTATCCGTACGCCTGGGGTCATTTTGTACCCAAGGGAAAGGATTCTTCTCATTTTAGAATACTTCTAGTGCGAAGATCTCTTTGAAACTAGCAGTATTTCTAAAATAAAAAATCATTTTGACAGATGTACGGATCGGATTAACGAGTAAATTTCCTGTTTGGAAAGTTGGGGCACAGAGCTCCCCACGTCGTATGGGTACGATAGTAAAACACAAAGTACGGATAGGGTTAAGTGGTGGCACAGAGTTCCCCACGTCGTATGGATACGATAGCAAAACACGTCGTACGGATAGGGTTAAGTGGTGGCACAGAGTTCCCTACGTCGTATGGATACGACAGTAAAACACAACGTACGGATAGGGTTAAGTGGTGGCACAGAGTTCCCCACGTCGTATGGATACGACAGTAAAACATGACGTATGGATACGGTTAAGTAAGGAATCTCCAAGCGGTGTCTATGGCTGTGAGATAAGGTACCGGCCTAGACCTCTCATCACGTCGTTGTACCGAGCGGCTATGTCTGTGAAGGAAGTTTCATCGTGTAACAAAGAGATAATGTGTCCTAGCTTTTTGAGTCTATGATTGGACCCCAATAAAAAATCCACCAAAAAAACCCAACTAAACGTTTGGCCAATCGACAAACGGCGGGGTAGGGGGTGGGAGTGGTGAGGGAGTGGGGGGGGGGATGAACATCGATTTCATCATGATGCCACGCACACAGAGACATGCACAGAGACAACCCCCCCCCCCCCCTCACACACACACACACAAATGCACACACACACACACACACACACACATACACACACATTCATATATATATGAATATATATATACATGCACTGCTGGCAAATTCAGCAGGTCGCTAACCCACTTATGACGACGGGTTATCATCGATCGACAAGGACAGAGATCTCCTCCAGTGATCATCCCAAGATACACAGAGATCTGTCTGCCACAAGGCATACTACGTAGAAACAAAGAGACAGCTCGACAACACGCTGTTTGTACTAACTACTTCACGTAGTTGTTAACTCTTTAATTAAGAACGTAACAGACGCATAATAAAATGTGAGGCAGTGTGGTGGAATCAGGCTCTCGTCAAAATAATCCAAATTAAGAAACTTGCATTTTTCCGCAGGTTTGTGAATTTTTATCAAATTTTTGTTTTTTGGCTCAACACCTTTCATGCCCATTTGAGAACTCATTTCTGTGAGGATTTTTCTGAAAAGCGTTGATGAAAGGCAAAAAAATGTAAATTTTCAGTTACCACGGACTCTTAAGCTAAGGAAATAACCAATCGTTGGCGGCCATTTCTCACTAATTTTATCTCTGAAAACAGATGACCCCCCCCCCCCCCCACCTCGTTCTTTCGCAAATATCTCTACTTGTATTCAAGGTAAATGGATATTTTTTTCATTCAAACAAAGACAAGTGAACAATCTTTGAGATAATACCAATAACTCTACATGCCCAAAAATTGACGAGAGCCTGATTCCACCACGCTGCCTCACAAATCGTCCTATCAGCCACAGGCCAAAAGCCAATGTAACAAGAGACCGTAAATACACGGTCTTTGATGTAACAGCACTTTTCGAAACTATCTACACAAACCAGAAACACGAACCTGGACATTTCATAAGAAACATGTTGTTGATAATTTTTTTTCGTATTTCAAATTTAAACAAAAAGGGAAGGATCAATCTGTATAAATAAATCAGTTATAATATTAAGCTTCTTTTTATTGCAGTACTCAAAAAGGGTGCGTTTTCAAGCGTTCGAATGACCAGAAAGTGCGTCCTCGGTAAGTTAAAAAAACTTGGGTCACATCTAATTTCTTTTTTCTTTTTTTTTTGGGGGGGGGGAGGAGGGGGAGGGGGGTTGTTTGTTCGAGTAAAGGGAGAAGAAGCACGCCGAAAGAGTAATGGTCAATTAGTGATGGGGAAATGAAAGACAGACAGACAGAAACAACAGAGGGAACGTACAGAAGACAGACAGACAGACAGACAGACAGACAAACAGACAGACAGACAGACAGACAGACAGACAAACAGAAACAACAGAGGGAATGTAAAGAAGTATATAAGACAGACAGACAGACAGACAGACAGACAGACAGACAGACAGACAGACAGACAGACAGACAGACAGACAGACAGACAGACAGAAACAACTGAGGGAACGTACAGAAGTATATAAGACAGACAGACAGACAGACAGACAGACAGAAACAACAGAGGGAACGTAAAAAAGTATATAAGACAGACAGACAGACAGACAGACAGACAGACAGACAGACAGACAGAAAGAAACAACTGAGGGAACGTACAGAAGTATATAAGACAGACAGACAGAAACAACAGAGGGAACGTACAGAAGTAGGACCTACCTGTGGCGCCCTCCAACCACCCGTGATCACATGACGTGTAAAAATCAAGCTTTCAGCTGCAGGATTCAACAGTAACTATTACACGACAGCCTGATTTATCAATGACCTTTCTTTCTTTCTTCCTTCATTTCGACTCATATTATAGTAACCCCAGAAGAACTAATTCCACTTACCGGTACTTGAAAAGATAATGGACCTGATATTCCGGATTTTCGTACAGTGTATTCCTCGAGTGAAGAACAAAGTTAACTAGGTATCGTCGCCGAAAAGAAAGGAATATCCATGTTACGTTCTCTCCTGCTCCTTCTTCGCGATCGCATCACACTTGAAGTGCGGTGTATCTATCATATTTTTAAAAATTTTTTTTAATTCTACTCGGTCGTCCTGCTCTGTCCTCCTGTATGCTCGTATAGTGTACAGCTTCTCCTGTAGTGTCAATAGATCTAGGCGTGGGCCAGGTTCCTATCTCAGGGCCTTGTGTGTATGTCCTGTACCACAGAAGGATGTGTTTCACAGTTTGGCCCGCTTCTCTACACTAGATAATGGCTTCTATTTTTACATATGTGTCCCGACGTTGTGGAATCAGGCTCTCGTCAATTTTTGGGCACATGGGGTTATTGATATCACATTAAAGCCTCTTCCCTTGCCTTGCTTTTGGGGGAAAAAATCAATCAGTGTTGAACAGAAGTCGAGATATTTGCAGTTGAAAGAGGTGAGGGTCGCCTGGTTTCAGAGGTAAAATTTACGAGAAAATGGCCGCCAAAGTGTGGTCATTTTCATTGCTTGAGAGTCCTTGGAAACTGAACATTTTCAGTTTCTGTGCCTTTAATCAATGTTTTTTTGTAAAACCACTACAGAAATAGATTTTTTAATGAACATTAACGGCGCGGAGCCAAAAAATTTTTTTTTTTTTTAAAGTGCCCAATGGCCAAAAAAACGCCAGTTTCTTTGATATTATAATTTTGACGAGCGCCTGATTTCACCACGACGCGTCACATATTTTTATAACAAAGAAGCAGTTGTTGTTATCGATCCAGCTGACGAAGAAACAAAAATTAAAAAAAAAAATTATGCACAAAACCCTCGAGATCTCACTCCAGTACTACTAGTAAAAAGTGCGAGTTGGGAATTTTTAACCCTGAGGTCGCGCCGTTGCAGTGGTATGTCAGAGCATAAAGGCTGTACTTTCCTTCCTAATTAATGACACTCTTAGTATGAAAAACGCTGTCTATCTCCTGTAAAATATGGACAATTAACATAATTTGCCGCATGGTCGAGCAAAAAAGTAAGGAATAAATGAATGAGCAAATGAGGCACACTTTGCCCGCTCTTTTGTCTGGATGTCTGTCTCGCTCTCTCTCTCTCTCTCTCTCTCTCTCTCTCTCTC